CCTAGCTTCCTTGCCTCCACCGTCACCCGTCGATCCACCAGCTCCACCGGGCTCCCTCGTCCCTCCAGCTCTGCCTTGGTCGGGCGTCGACCCGCCATCGCCTCAGGACTCTTTCGGCTGCACCTCGTCGCTCCATCCCACCGGCTCTATTGGGCTCCTTCCTCCCGCCAGCTCCACCTTGGTGCACCTCAGTCGCTCCGGCTCCACCGCGGATCTCCGGATCTCCGCCTCCGCCTTGGTCGCCAGAGCCCTCGGCTCCACCCTGGCCCCCCGGATCCTCAGCATCCCCCTGGCTCGTTGGCTCTCCGTCTCCGCCTCGGACTCCTCCACCACCTGCTCCACTGCCATTGGTCGGCCCCCTGGAGTCAGCGGCCATTCCTCCTCCATGGCTCCTCCCTCCGTCGGCTCCACCGTGGGTCGCCATCATGGCTGTGGCCTGGGTCCTGCTTGACTCCTCCTACTCCGGTCCCCTTTTGTCTCCTCCCTGGCTCCTCCCTCCTTCGTCGCCTCCCTGGTCTCTGTCTGTCAGCCCCCTCCCGGGTGTCCATCCTCCTCCTGAGCCTCCTCCCAAGTTCCCACCCATTTCCCCGCCTCTGTTGTTCTATGGTGTGAGGACGCACCTTCCGGGAGGGGGCCAATATGTCAGGGTTCTGGACTGTCTGTGTTTTGCTCCCCGTGACCCAGTTTCTCCTCGTGTTAATTGTGTTAATTTGATTCCAGCTCTATCTATTTTGTCCCTCGTTATCCAGTCCTTATAAGCCCCAGTCTGTTCAGTTTGTATTTGTCGGGTCTACCAGTGATGTACGTGTGTCTATCTCCTGTTCCCTGTGTTGGATTTACCCTCTGTGTTGGCTACCATTTAAAGACTCTTTCGATTATCCACGGCTCCGTGTTCCTTCCGGCAGCGTAACATGACAGATACACTTCTAGGAGACCGATGTGGATTACTTGGATTTTATTGTTCCTTTTAAACTGAGTGAATTTTAATTACTATACCCCAACCCTAAACCAGTGTTGATGTGTAACTAACTAGAAATAACAACTAAATTAAGCTGCTTTCAAAATAGTGTAGTTTTTCCAACTAGCTACTTTTTCCAAAAAGTAGCAGTGTAGCAAGAAAATAATAATAATAATAATAATAAAACAAACATTGAAGTATTGGGTTGATACTTCATAACTTTCCTGGTTTTAAAAATGTTTATAAACAAGATTTATTTCATTCTTTAATAAAAATGTTGTCATACATAGTGAGGTGTCAGAGATAAAACTATGCATTATTATTAATAAAATATGACTAAATGCAATTAATTACACAATGCAATGAATTTCACAATTGGTCTACAAACTGTAGAAGATGTCAGGTGATTTGATTTTTTTCACTGCATTTTTCTGCAACAAAGTGAAAATAAAAGACTTAAATTGATATAATTTCAACAAGTTTAAGTCACTCAAAAAACGAAACATACAATGTAACAATTTTTCCAACCTCCAAAGAGCCGTAGCCGTATCCAAGAACCACATACACTCAAGAAACCCATACAGCTTGAAAAGAAGAGTATCTTTGGTAACACTTTAAATAATCGTATCTTTTGTTAAAAGGTATTGCAAAGACCTATTGAAAACCTTTATTTTTAAGAGTGTAAACATACAAATACAGGCAGAGAGCAGCAGCTGCAGGAGTGTGAGCATTCGCTGTTTACTAATGCATCAGCTTAAGGGGGCGTTCTTTATTCTCTCTGCAGATTGAGATGACATGCTTCCAGGGCTGAAGGGCCGCAGACAGGACTAATGTCGTCTGTCTCCGACACAGCAGCATCAAAGTAGCAATGTGTGTGTGTCCAGGCACTCTTGAGCCTCTGTTAGCATTTAATCTGATTACATGAATCTGACTGGGGGGCAGCAACAGAGGGGGCGTCAAGGAGTCTAAATTCATTGGGCTGAGATGACTTATAATCACTTTACACAAGTCATACCCAAAGAATGCCTAATCTATTCTCTGCTTCATCATGAGTGTGCCTAACAAATACACACGTGTGTGTGTGTGTGTGTCTGCAAAGAAAAGTTGTTTTGTTATGCAGCTCTGTGACCCCACCAATGTGGAGTGGAAAAATAATATTGGCTGTTGTATTATGGGAGCATGGCCGATTAAATGTCAACGAACAGAGAAAGATGATAAAGGCCACATGATGAGAGAGGACATGAGAGGAGGACAGAGAAAATGTAAAAAAAAAAAAAAAAAAAAGGATTTTTCATTCTTATTAAGGAAAGTATATTAACAATGAAAAATATGACACTATTTTTTTTTGTCATGCTACATTTCTAAGGAGCCTTTGAAGTGACATTTACTAGAAAAAAAAACTTTTGCACATGCATGAGAAAGATGGGAAACTTCATGTACACAAAAACCTTGCATATCAACGTTAAATTTTTCCAGTGTATATAAGAAAACATTAGGAGTATGGGAAACTTATTAATGAAAATGTTATATGTGCATGAACATTCTGCATGTTTGAACACAAAAATGTCCCTGCGTTTGGAATATGTTTACATATTCATGTTACTGTTTCCGGTTAGCGTATATCTACAGTTCTCCTGTGCATGTGCAAATGTTTATCATGCGTAAACATTTTTGGTAAACACATAAAACTTTGCCTAGGGCTCGACAGTGTGAGGGTTTCACTCACATTTGCGACTAGTAAATAGTAATAGTAAAGCATATGCATTTCAAAATAAGAGTTCTAGTATATTTTGAGCTAAAATATAATTAAAATTCCTGTAATATGCATAACGTCTCCCCCGTAAAAAAAAAAAAAAAATGTTATATTTAAGAATGTGTGTGTGGGTGGGTGGTTGCCTGGTATTCCCTATGTTATGGAGACCAAATTTTTTAATTTGTGGGGACATTTTTTTTTTGTGGTCCCAATGAGGAAACAAGCTTCTAAATCATTCAGAATGAAGTTTTTTTGAAAATGTAAAAATGCCAGAAAGTTTTGTGTGAGGGGTAGGTTTAGGGGTAGGGTTAGGGTAAGGGGATAGAAAATACAGTTTGTACAGTAGAAAAACCATTGCTCCTATGCAATGAACCCATGATGATAGGAGTACCTCTGTATGTGTGTGTGTGTGTGTGTGTGTGTGTGTGTATGTCATAATGCTCATATTGATCCAGGGTCGGTACATTCCAGCCCACATACAAATAACATTCAATTCTTACCACTTTATGCACAAAATTGACTGATAATCATGCTGTTTGTGGGAAGCTCCAATCAATCCCTGTAGAGCATTCTATAAAGATAACTGAACAGACAACAGTAACTGAAGAGGGTGGAGCTTAACAAAGGGTCAATTCATAATTCATCATCCTTTTGCAACTCTTTTCTTGAGTCTGACTCAAAAACCACATAAAGAAGCAAGCAAACACACTACAGAGAAAGAGAGAATGAGAGAAACAAAGGATTTCTGGCTTGCAGTGGTTGGATGACGGCGCAGACACAGACGAGGCATCTGCTGAATGGGACACTGTGCCGGGAGTAGCAAATTGAGGTACGTGTAACACGACACAAATGAACAAAAAGTATTTAGCTAATGATTTATTATTTAAGAAGGCTCCTTAACCCCTCGGCTAGGCCCGGGCTCTATTGTAGACAGATCTGAAACTAGATAAGGGAACTTCTAATGGCAGTCAGCTGGCAGGTGGGCAAGTGAAGACCCAGCGCAGGCCCAGCATGGGTTAATCAGTGTTAAGTGATATTTGACCGTGGAGCAACGGCGCCCGAGTCACTGAATACAGGGGGTTTAGAGCGTTTGTCAGCACAGGTAACTCACCTGAGGAGGCAGCTGGGCCAGAGCGGTGAATCCGTTGGTAGTGCTAAACACGGTCAAAGACAGTCTGGATTTACTTTCCTTCATATACACACTCAGACACATAGAAACACAGTCTTGTACACCTGCAGCTAATGTTGTCTTGTGCTGGGTCATGTCAGGGTACTTCAATAAAAAGGTTATTCAGTCTTCCTGAAGTGTGCTGTCAGAGTAGCTAAAGTGTCACATGCTAATGTGAAATGCTAGCTATTGTTAACGTCACATGTAAACCAGTAAAATAACTAAAAAATATATTAGAGCCATTTTAAGAACATTTTTCTCAGTATTTAAGATTTAGACTTTCTGAATAATAAGTTATATTAGATCATGTTAAACAAAATGGTGCAGTATAATAGCATTGGCATGTGTTTTATGGCATATTACCATGTTAAGGTCTGTGTCTGAATATCTCTAATAGTAAATAGTAGGCAAAAAACAGTATGTGAATTGAGTAGTAAGGCCAAATTCGCCATATTCATAAGACAGTAGTCCGAAAGTAGTCAGATGACCTACTGATATTTCCGCCAAAATTTCAGTGCCCATAAGGTGGATACTTTTACTATCCCGTGAGGCCATAGGAGAGCTGTGAATGGCAATGAAGCGATACAAACTAATGCCATAAGTCACATGACAATGACAACATGGTAGCTGTAGTACATCCAGATTTCATTCATACTACATATATTCATATGTAGTATGAAGACATATATGTCTTTGCGCCGTAGAACCAACAGATGGAGGGACGGGTGGTAACTGGCAGGAGTCTCAGGAGGAGGACGGACACCTGGGAGGGAGCCGGCAGACAGAGTCCAGGGAGGTGACGATGGAGGGAGGAGCCAAGGAGGAAACAGGAGGAGCCAGGGCGGATCAGACGGAGGAAGGAGCCAGGGAGATGACAGGAGGGACTTGGAGCATACGGCGCCAGGTGGGACCCAGGCCACAACCATAATGACGACCCACGGTGGAGCCGATGGAGGGAGGAGCCATGGAGAAGGAAGGACTGATGACTCCAGGGGGCCAACCGACTGCGACGGAGCAGGTGGCGGAGTAGCCTGAGGCAGAGACGGAGAGCCGATGAGCCAGAGTGACGAGGAGGATCCAGAGGGCCAAGGCGGAGCAGATGGCTCCGGCAACTGAGGCGGCGGTGGGGATCCAGAAGGCTGCGGTTGAGCCGGAGCGACTGAGGAGGAGCTGAAGGGATGGAGGAGCCTGACAGAGCCGGAGGGACGAGGCGCAGCCAAAGGAGTGGAGTCCCGAGGCGACGGATGGTTGACGACAGACCAAGGCGGAGCCGGAGGGACGAGGGAGCCCGGCGGAGCCAGTGGACTGATGGACCACGGTGGAGAAGAGGGAGCTAGGAGCCATGGTGGAGCCGCTGGGTCTACAGGCCGAGGCGGAGTCCGGGGCTTAGAGGCTGGAGGCGAAAGCAAGGGCTTCTCCAGCCAAGGTGACGATGGAGGATGGCAGACCCGCGGAGCTCGCACCGTACCGATCGTGGGCTGAGGGCGAGCAGAGGGGCTGCCAGACAACAGCGGAGGAGGAGGCAGGAGCGGGCTTTCCGGGCTTAACTCAGTAATGGGAGCCCTCTCTGCTTTGGAGTTGCACAGTCCCAGATCCGTAATTAGCTCGCCCTCAACCACGGTGCAGGGGGCGGAGCTCCTCTCCGTGCTTTCACTGTCCGCGGCTTTCTCCCTCGCGGCAGGCATTGTAGCCGGCTCTCGAACCTGGTCTGACGATCTGAGAGGCTCTGGCTCCGTGGCGATCCTCAGCTCTGTCGCACTCCTTGGCGATGGCTCGTCAGTCGCGACGGGCTCTGGCTCTCCATCAGCGGTGGGCTCGGGTTTGCGCTCCACTCAGCGGGGCTGGGCTCTGGGTCTGGCTGTGCTCTGGATCAGGGATAGACGCTCTCCAGACACCGGAAAATGGCTTCCCTCCAGCTCAGTCCAGAGGTGTCTGGGAGGTCGACGGGACGATAGTAATTTGCCCTGATCCAGAACAGTGAGTTCAGCGTCGTCGAGCGCCGTTAAAATGGCGAGCTGGCTGAACTCAACCGCATACTCCACCAGGGAAAGGTCCTTGCGGGCTAGGGCGGTGAACTTGGCAGCGAGGGGATCCATGAGGAACTACAGTAACAAAAAAACACTGAATAAAACGAGGAAACAAGACGGAGGGGGAACACGAAGTTATACTGTTTCTTGGTCGAGTCTTCTGTCACGATACGCTGCTGGAAGGAACGAAGGAGCCGTGGATAAACGAAACTGTCATTTATTAAATCCAACACACAGGGTAAATCCACACTTGGAAGGGAAGGAAGACACACATACACAACTGGTACACCCTGAACAGACTGGGGCTTAAATACACAGGATAAGGAGGGAATTGGGAGGAACACAGGT